GGGGGACCTGTGCCAGGTCTCCGTTTATTGGATTTGGGGGGCTGGTCTTTTTTACAACAGTGAGCAGCGACTCCCCACCACATCTACTTGTACATATTACAAGCACGGAGGATTGCAATTCGATCTCAGTTCGTTCTTTGTAATTTCTATTTGTTCATTTGTCTTTCTGAGGAATGGACAAATAGCCAAAACTCCTGACCAAATTCGTACAAAAGTAAATGCCCAAGTCTGCAACTAGGCATGGGTGGGAATTTCACAGCACAAGCTAGGGTGGGCAGAGGAAGAACCTGTGAGACACATCATCTGGGAGCACATAGATGGAGGCGCCTAGTAGATAGATCCGGAGAAGAAATAAAAGATTTTTTTTTTTAAATGGAGGACCTACAGGCATTTGGAGGTGACTAGGGGGACAATTAAATGTTGTGGAGTTGGGAGGAGAGGGTTACAAAAAGATGCAGCCATGACCGTGCTGCTTTAAATCATGGAACACAGTTGCACACAAGTGAAGGGACGTCGGCAGGTCTTTGCTTGAACTACTATGTTGGGGTTTCAAAGCGACAGTAGTGAAGACTTACACAACTAACAAATATCTGTATTTTTTTGTTTTATGAACGTTTGTGTTGCGATAATACTTTACACCTCTGAGGGTTGGGTATGTTGTGTAAATCAAATGGTAAAGAACCCACTTGCAGTTCTATACAAATTACCAACTGACTAACAGTAACATAGTTCTACAATATAGGAGCGTGCACAGGAGTGCAGCAGTGACAAACAGCTTCTCATGGGAGAACAGCAGGAGCTAGCGGTGCCCACGGGGACAGCTTCGGGTAAGTAAAACTATCTTCACCCTCACCCACTGAGCAGGGATATCACAGGTACTACTCCTATTGCTGATAAAAAATGACACTATTTTTATTATCTGCACTAACTTTATATATAAATGGCAAACAAACTAATTGTTGTATTTGCAATACGGCAGTTATTCATTATAATAGTATAATTCTTAATTATAATAATTACATATTAAGACATGACAGGTAGTAATTAGTATTTAGAACGTAATTCAGGCACTGGAACTATTCTCCAGCAAACAGTACGTGGTTACACCTGTTCTGTGTTTATGTCATGGACTTTTCCATTGGAGTCTTTGACGCAGGGAAACAAAAACAGAAACCTATCTTTAATATGGGTGGAATATTCTGATCATGTGTGCTGTGTTTTATATAGAGCAATTCAATATATAGAATGACTGACGGTATAGCATGTTTGCTACTATTTATAGCATGTGTGATTCCATGTGTAGAATGATTGACACAATGTATAGTATGTTTGATTCATTATATAGAATGATTGACACAATGTATAGTATGTTTGATTTGTTATATAGAATGATTGACACAATGTATAGTATGTTACATAGAATGTGACGGCAGATAAGAACCATTCGGCCCATCTAGTCTGCCCAATTTTCTAAATACTTTCATTAGTCCCTAGCCTTATCTTATAGTTAGGATAGCCTTATGCCTATCCCACGCATGCTTAAACTCCTTTACTGTGTTAACCTCTACCACTTCAGCTGGAAGGCTATTCCATGCATCCACTACCCTCTCAGTAAAGTAATACTTCCTGATATTATTTTTAAACCTTTGTCCCTCTAATTTAAGACTATGTCCTCTTGTTGTGGTAGTTTTTCTTCTTTTAAATATAGTCTCCTCCTTTACTGTGTTGATTCCCTTTATATATTTAAATGTTTCTATCATATCCCCCCTGTCTCGTCTTTCCTCCAAGCTATACATGTTAAGATCCTTTAACCTTTCCTGGTAAGTTTTATCCCGCAATCCATGAACCAGTTTAGTAGCCCTTCTCTGAACCCTCTCTAAGGTATCAATATCCTTCTGAAGATACGGTCTCCAGTACTGTGTACAATACTCCAAGTGAGGTCTCACCAGTGTTCTGTACAATGGCATGAGCACTTCCCTCTTTCTACTGCTAATACCTCTCCTATACAACCAAGCATTCTGCTAGCATTTCCTGCTGCTCTATTACATTGTCTGCCTACCTTTAAGTCATCAGAAATAATCACCCCTAAATCCCTTTCCTCATATGTTGAGGTTAGGACTCTATCAAATATTCTGTACTCTGCCCTTGGGTTTTTACGTCCAAGATGCATTATCTTGCACTTATCCACATTAAATGTCAGTTGCCACAATTCTGACCATTTTTCTAGTTTACCTAAATCATTTGCCATTTGGCTTATCCCTCCTGGAACATCAACCCTGTTACATATCTTAGTATCATCAGCAAAAAGACATACCTTACCATCAAGACCTTCTGCAATATCACTAATAAAAATATTAAAGAGAATGGGTCCAAGTACAGATCCCTGAGGTACCCCACTGGTGACAAGTCCAAGCTTCGAATATATTCCATTAACTACAACCCTCTGTTGCCTGTCACTCAGCCACTGCCTTACCCATTCAACAATATTGGAATCCAAACTTAAAGATTGCAGTTTATTGATAAGCCTTCTATGTGCAACAGTGTCAAAAGCCTTACTGAAATCTAGGTAAGCAATGTCTACTGCACCACCCTGATCTATAATTTTAGTTACCCAATCAAAAAAATCAATAAGATTAGTTTGGCATGATCTCCCTGAAGTAAACCCATGTTGTCTCTGATCTTGAAATCCATGTGTTTTAGATGTTCATCAATCCTATCCTTTAACATGGTTTCCATCACTTTCCCCACTACTGAAGTAAGGCTTACTGGCCTATAGTTGCCCGACCCCTCCCTATTACCTTTCTTGTAAATGGGCACAACATTCGCTAACTTCCAATCTTCTGGGACTACTCCTGTTAACAATGATTGGTTAAATAATTTGATTTGTTATATAGAATGATTGACACAATGTATAGTATGTTTGATTTGTTATATAGAATGATTAACACAATGTACAGTGTTTTATTCGTTATATAAAATGATTGACACAATGTATAGTATGTTTGATTTGTTATATTGATTAATTGACACAATATCAGATGTTTAATAGGTATTTGCGTATCTGTTGTCTGTGTGTGTGTTTGTGTGTGTGTGTGCTGCCCTAGGACTGACTAAAAGTGAGGATCAGTGTTGCAGAGATCAGAGCTCAAAATGCATTCTGTAAATTGCTATTACTAATACATTAATTTAAAATGAACTGGTTTGTGATATTACAAAAATTACAAAAAATTACAAATATGCATTAAATTTTTTTAAAAATATGCAATTTTATAAATCAAATGTCATCATGGAACCCACTACTACCATCTAGTGGTGAGAAAAGAGTAAGCATTATTTCTACAAAATGTCACTTGTTAAAGGAACACTATAGTCAACTAAATAAAGCAGTTTTAGTGTATACAGGGAGTGCAGAATTATTAGGCAAGTTGTATTTTTGAGGATTAATTTTATTATTGAACAACAACCATGTTCTCAATGAACCCAAAAAACTCATTAATATCAAAGCTGAATATTTTTGGAAGTAGTTTTTAGTTTGTTTTAGTTTTAGCTATGTTAGGGGGATATCTGTGTGTGCAGGTGACTATTACTGTGCATAATTATTAGGCAACTTAACAAAAACAAATATATACCCATTTCAATTATTTATTATTACCAGTGAAACCAATATAACATCTCAACATTCACAAATATACATTTCTGACATTCAAAAACAAAACAAAAACAAATCAGTGACCAATATAGCCACCTTTCTTTGCAAGGACACTCAAAAGCCTGCCATCCATGGATTCTGTCAGTGTTTTGATCTGTTCACCATCAACATTGCGTGCAGCAGCAACCACAGCCTCCCAGACACTGTTCAGAGAGGTGTACTGTTTTCCCTCCTTGTAAATCTCACATTTGATGATGGACACAGGTTCTCAATGGGGTTCAGATCAGGTGAACAAGGAGGCCATGTCATTAGATTTTCTTCTTTTATACCCTTTCTTGCCAGCCACGCTGTGGAGTACTTGGACGCGTGTGATGGAGCATTGTCCTGCATGAAAATCATGTTTTTCTTGAAGGATGCAGACTTCTTCCTGTACCACTGCTTGAAGAAGGTTTCTTCCAGGAACTGGCAGTAGGACTGGGAGTTGAGCTTGACTCCATCCTCAACCCGAAAAGGCCCCACAAGCTCATCTTTGATGATACCAGCCCAAACCAGTACTCCACCTCCACCTTGCTGGCGTCTGAGTCGGACTGGAGCTCTCTGCCCTTTACCAATCCAGCCACGGGCCCATCCATCTGGCCCATCAAGACTCACTCTCATTTCATCAGTCCATGAAACCTTAGAAAAATCAGTCTTGAGATATTTCTTGGCCCAGTCTTGACGTTTCAGCTTGTGTGTCTTGTTCAGTGGTGGTCGTCTTTCAGCCTTTCTTACCTTGGCCATGTCTCTGAGTATTGCACACCTTGTGCTTTTGGGCACTCCGGTGATGTTGCAGCTCTGAAATATGGCCAAACTGGTGGCAAGTGGCATCGTGGCAGCTGCACGCTTGACTTTTCTCAGTTCATAGGCAGTTATTTTGCGCCTTGGTTTTTCCACACGCTTCTTGCGACCCTGTTGACTATTTTGAATGAAACGCTTGATTGTTCGATGATCACGCTTCAGAAGCTTTGCAATTTTAAGAGTGCTGCATCCCTCTGCAAGATATCTCACTATTTTTGACTTTTCTGAGCCTGTCAAGTCCTTCTTTTGACCCATTTTGCCAAAGGAAAGGAAGTTGCCTAATAATTATGCACACCTGATATAGGGTGTTGATGTCATTAGACCACACCCCTTCTCATTACAGAGATGCACATCACCTAATATGCTTAATTGGTAGTAGGCTTTCGAGCCTATACAGCTTGGAGTAAGACAACA